ACCCCAGCTTGGTGACAGCCATGGACAGCAAGAGAAGGAAGCGATGCATGTGACAGGGCAGCGAGAGGCTGTCCAGCTGCAGGGCAGAAACAACCTCCAAGAGCCCCTGCGTGCATTCCAGCCGCTCGCCCCCAGCTGGATGAGGAAGTCCCTCTTGACCAGGGACAGTAAGTTCTGGGCAATTTCTGCTCTCGGTTTGACACTTTTGGGGTCTGTCTTTTTCAAATCTGCTTTCCCAATGAGCCACAACCATGTGGTCCTTTTCAAAAACCCAGGGTAGCTGCTCACTGAGAAGACCTGGGTTGCTCCGGACACCAGAACGCAGAACGCTAGAACAGCCCTCGGCCTCGCACATTAAGAAGGGGGTGTGAAGGGACTGCACCTCCGGAAAGGGATTAAGAAGGGGGTGTGAAGGGACTGCACCTCCGGAAAGGGAGGACTGTGAAGGACCACCTGGGGTATTTTTTCGAGTGTGATACTCAGCTCTTCATCTGCTGAGATAAGAAGGTGGTGTGAAGGGACTGCACCTCCGGAAAGGGATGACTGTGAAGGACCACCTGGGGTATTTTTTCGAGTGTGATACTCAGCTCTTCATCTGCTGAGCCTTCCTGGGCTTTGCTCACTGGTAAAGTTCTCAGCAGGATGCTGGCCAGGTATCTCACGTCATCTGGACGGAGATAGGATATTAAAATTGTGAGATTTGAAGCAATCAAGTGCCAGCGTACTACAGGGTATGTGGTGGCACTGACTGTGCCGACCTGGCCATCCCAGGAAGCTGATGCCCTTTGATTCAAGCTTTCTCTGCCAGAACCAATAACACAGGCAGCGTCACACCCAAAGTCTGGAGGGCTTCTTTACACTGGAAACTAGCCACATTAAAGTCCTTTTCATTCTGTGCAGGTAGAGCTGCTCTAAGCAATACCTGCCAAGGGAGCTGAACTGAGCTGCCAACTTCTCTACCTTCTTCCAGTGCTGTGTTTCCACACCTGGAGCAGCACAGGGAGGCTTGGGGTCTTCAGGGCAGCCCCTGCCAGGTCCCGAGACACAGAATGATATTGGCTACAGTGCAGACTGAGCGTGGTGTCCACCTGGTCCCAGGTGCAGGAGAGCAGGAGGGCGAAGTCACTGACCTTCTGAAGCCACAGATCAGATGCTGGGCCCGGGTGCTCCGAGAGGAGGACAAGCAGGGGCCTCACAAGCTCTCCCAGCATCCGCGCCATCGTGCACTGCATCCGTCTGATGACAAGCAGGGGTGTGCTGCTGTCTAGGCTGTGCACGTTGAATGTGATGCAATGCAGCAGGGAGCTCAGGGACAGTGACTTCAGGGCCATGTCAGTGTCACTCCACAAACAGGGCAAGACCAAGGACTGGAACTTCTCCAGCACGAGGCACCACGTGTCCAAGATCTGACTCGGAGGCAGCTCCAGGAGGCACACACTTAGCACCACAGAGGGGCCCGAGGCCAGCATAGGCTGCCTCAGCACCTCGGCCACCAGGTGGCAGATCACCCCCAGAACCTCCTCAGACAGCCGTGGCACTTGTCATAGCTTAGCATACGCCTGGAAGAGAGTGTGAATAAGCACCTCCTGGGCTCTTCTGGTTCAAAACTCTGTTACTTCTGCATCAATCCAAGCTGAAGCCAATAGGTCATCCAGATCTGGCTCCAAAGTCAAATGATTCAGGGACATCAGTCTTGAGGCAGTGAAACCAGGCTGGTACAGGTGCTTGTGTGTGGTTTATCAGCAGCTCAGCCAAACGGCGATAAAAGTGGAGCTGAGCCTCTCCCTGCCAGATCCTGTCGGCAGCAGTGTTATAGATATTGTTTCTGGCCACCAAGTTCAGCAGCTCTTCCACAGCCAGCAGTTCTGTGGTCCAATCTGATGTGGACAGGGCTCCCACCCACCCCTCCTGCAGGTGGGAAACCCTCAAGCAGCCAGACAGCCTGGGCAGAACCTGGAAGCAGAGAAGCTGGTTCCCCTCCTTGAAGTAGGAATCTAGAAAGAGCTTGAACAGCAAGGCCACGGAGCTGGTCACAATGGAGGCATGGAGAGCAGGCTCGCGGTTGCCCACATCAACGAGCCTGGTGATCACAGTGCCCATGGGGGCTAGAAGGTTCTTCATGGCCCCCATCTTCATGTCCCCTTGTTGCTGGTCCAAGAGCTCCTCTTTGTGGGATGAAAGCAGCTCAGGCTGAAAGACCCAATCTCACAGCACAACCTCAATCTTACTCCTTACCCCCCAGATCAGGGCTGGCTGCAGTTGGACTTGGCCAGCCTGTGACCAGGTGCCTCCTGAGAGCAGGTGTCTCAGGACCAGGAAGGGCTGGAGCAGGTGCCCAGTCATATCCCCAAAGGCACATCTCGGATTGATCTGCTGCTGCTGGATCAATAGGTTAGTGGCAAAGGGACAGGTGGATGACCTTGAACAACTGGGTGACCGTAGCTCCCTCCGGCTGTTTGCAGGCCGACCAGCAGAGCTGGCTCAGCAAGGCCACCACCAGCTCCTGATTGGCCATGTAGATGACGGCAAAGGCAGGCATCGAAAGGATGCCCTGGCAGCAGCTCAGGACAGCACATATGTTTCTTTGGGATCCCAAAAGAGAGAACTCAACTATTCTCTCATTTATGATCTGAACATTAAGAAAGAAAGAAAACCCATTACTGACCCTAAACCCACACATAACACAGAAAAGGCACAACAGAATCCATAAACTCACTCCTCACCCTCACCTTGATGTGAAAGAAATGCCCAGTCTATTGCATCTAAATAACCTGACATTTGCTAAGTACACCAGAGGAAGGTGAAGCACCTGTTCTGATTCCTTCACACACCCACCTCCTACTAATACAAACTGGAAAAGGATCAGCACCTTTGTAAATTTGCTGTCCCTTTGTAAAAAGCTGGGGGGTTTTAAAGGCCTCAATACCAAAGATAACATCTTAGATTTTAAACCTGCAATTTAGCCTACATGTCACCTGGTGGGTGGACAGTGGCACCTGAGGTATGATCTGTGATCCAAAACACATGTTTATACTCCATTATACTTTTCTTTTAAAAAAAAAGCCAAAGCAAATGCCACTCTTTGTTGCTTTGCATTGCTTTGCCCCCCACGGATTTATCACCCCACTTTCCCTGGATGATGGAGATGCAAAGGATTACTCAAAGCCCATCTCTTCTGAGCAGTGAGAAGCCCCAAAGTGGTTAATCTCCCTGGGAATGCTAAAGCCAGAGCCAAACCTTCCATTTGGGAAATTAATGCCAAATTGGGGTTCTCTTCCTGCATTTATTTTCCAGACCAGGAAGTTATAGAAAGAGACATAGGTGGGTTATAGTTTAACAGTATAGGCTGGTAACTTTCAGTGAAATAAGCCAGATGACATTCCAGTAGGCAACTAAGTGGTCCTATCAGCAACAGTTTGATCTTAGCAAACATTCCTTCCTATAGCAATTTCTCAGTATCTTTACATAACAGTCAGTAACTAGTCTGTCTTTGAGCCAGCAACCTGCTGTGCCACAATCCTTATCTTGCAACAGAGACTTATACCCTGAGGGAAGTTTCCAGTCTTCCACAAGGTCAATATTTGAAACTGCAAGGCTTTGGAAAACCAGGCCCTGTGAAGTACATATGCTTTATAGTATAAAACAGACAATGGGCTGGCAAAGTCTTTCAATTATTCTGTAACAACTGGAACATTAAACATGTCACAGGAATCCCATATAACCCCACCGGCCAGGCAATTGTTGAAAGGGTGAATGTCCTTCTTAAATCTCAATTAAATAAACAAAAGGACAATATAGAAATAGGAATGGCCCCTCATGAACAGGTCTTCAAATCTTTGTTTACACTAAATTTTTAAACTGCAATTCCCAAAATTCAAGTACCACAAAACGGCACTTTATCCCTCCTAAGAAGCCTAAACCCTTGGTTTTATGCCGCCACCTAGTGACAGGACCACAATGGTTGGGACCTGCTGAATTGTTAACATGGGGAAGAGGGTTTGCTTCTGTTTTGTCTCCCACAGGACCAGTGTGGATTCCCTCTAAAGCTGTCAAACCTTATCATGTGGAACCCCAGATCCAACAAAGGACCCAGTCTGATCCCAGAGTTCAACACCTCACCATCTCAACTCAGTGCATCCCTCCAGAAATGGCATGCACCAGACCACCAGTGATGATGCTGAACACCAACTTCACTCCAACCTACGTGAACCCACCAGTAACGACAACAACAACTAGCTCCAAACCAACGTGGGTGGATTAAAAGGTCTCATTAGTCAAGCAGGAGCTACAATTCAAATAACAGGCACTCGTCTAACGCCGGAAAATTTATTTCTGGCCATCCTTTCTCACGTAACCATTAACTCAAAAGGACATAAGGTAATATTAGTCTTGTTAACTTTCTCCATGCTCTTCTCCTCATTGTAAGTACTCATGTTTATTGGACGCATGTACTGCATCCTGTTTTTGATCTGCTTACCTGGGAGGATCACAAGCCTCATCTCTCATCTATGATAGTGCTCACCTCGGAGGCACCTGGCTCCCTCCCTCAGGCCGTCTTGAAGAACGTGGACAATCCTGCTCTAATTCAGGACACAATGCGGGATGGCACAAACTCGCCCATGACTGGTACTTCCTCACTGACAACTTACCCATCTGCATTACACCCAGTTGGACTAATAATAATTTATGTGTTTCTTTCTCTCCTCAATGGTATATGAATTATATAATAAAAAATCCAAGCCAACTTTTAGCATTAAAACATCAACTGTTTATTTCAACTGCTGGAGTTCCAGGAGTTTTTCGTAATGGAAAAGATCACTCTAAGCCTAATATTCCTGTCTCTTCCCATCCCTGGATTTCCACAGAAGATGGCAGAGATGTAAACTGGGTCTCTTGCCGTTCTGTAAATTTTACTGAAAAACATTACTTAATAATATTACATTGGAAAATTGGGGACCACAAAATTTATTAATATTTCATTCCAACACCACTTGGAATTATACTCTTCCTTTTAATTATTCCGGATCCCCTTATATGTGGAATCCCATTTTGGCTGGTCAGCAGTAATGGCTGTGGCTGCCACCGCAGCTGCTGCAGTCGTGGCTTTAACCCATCCTATTCAAACAGCACAGACAGTAAATGATTATTTTCAAAATGTAACTTCTGAATTTCTGTCTCAAACTAAAATTGACCAAGAAATCTTACAAGATTAGATGCCTTAAAGGCAGCTGTCACCTGGATTGGCGGACACCAACAAGCTCTCTGGACACGAAGCCAGCTTAATTGTGATGCAGGATATCACTCCATGTGTATCACTTCTATTCCTTTTAATTCCTCCCATTGCATGGAAAGATGTACAAAAACTTTTACATGGAGCGTTTCATTCTGATTTACATGGAGATATTCAAAACTTAGTAACCAAACTTCAACAACAAATGACACGGCTTCAAGAAGAAGCTCAAAAGATTACTGTCGATCATTTAAATGATTTGGCCCATTGGCTTAATCCTACCCAGTGGTTTTCCGGTTTAAATGTAAGAATTTGGATTATTGCTGGAATTCGTGTCTTATGTATCTTGTGTTTTCTTATAGTGATTAAACTGTTATGTTCCATGGTCCAACGGGCTCATCAAGCTGAAGTAATGCTGACTGTTCTTCATCAGGACACCTTTGACTCTGACTCCNATTTGAAACTGCAAGGCTTTGGAAAACCAGGCCCTGTGAAGTACATATGCTTTATAGTATAAAACAGACAATGGGCTGGCAAAGTCTTTCAATTATTCTGTAACAACTGGAACATTAAACATGTCACAGGAATCCCATATAACCCCACCGGCCAGGCAATTGTTGAAAGGGTGAATGTCCTTCTTAAATCTCAATTAAATAAACAAAAGGACAATATAGAAATAGGAATGGCCCCTCATGAACAGGTCTTCAAATCTTTGTTTACACTAAATTTTTAAACTGCAATTCCCAAAATTCAAGTACCACAAAACGGCACTTTATCCCTCCTAAGAAGCCTAAACCCTTGGTTTTATGCCGCCACCTAGTGACAGGACCACAATGGTTGGGACCTGCTGAATTGTTAACATGGGGAAGAGGGTTTGCTTCTGTTTTGTCTCCCACAGGACCAGTGTGGATTCCCTCTAAAGCTGTCAAACCTTATCATGTGGAACCCCAGATCCAACAAAGGACCCAGTCTGATCCCAGAGTTCAACACCTCACCATCTCAACTCAGTGCATCCGTCCAGAAATGGCATGCACCAGACCACCAGTGATGATGCTGAACACCAACTTCACTCCAACCTACGTGAACCCACCAGTAACGACAACAACAACTAGCTCCAAACCAACGTGGGTGGATTAAAAGGTCTCATTAGTCAAGCAGGAGCTACAATTCAAATAACAGGCACTCGTCTAACGCCGGAAAATTTATTTCTGGCCATCCTTTCTCACGTAACCATTAACTCAAAAGGACATAAGGTAATATTAGTCTTGTTAACTTTCTCCATGCTCTTCTCCTCATTGTAAGTACTCATGTTTATTGGACGCATGTACTGCATCCTGTTTTTGATCTGCTTACCTGGGAGGATCACGAGCCTCATCTCTCATCTATGATAGTGCTCACCTCGGAGGCACCTGGCTCCCTCCCTCAGGCCGTCTTGAAGAACGTGGACAATCCTGCTCTAATTCAGGACACAATGCGGGATGGCACAAACTCGCCCATGACTGGTACTTCCTCACTGACAACTTACCCATCTGCATTACACCCAGTTGGACTAATAATAATTTATGTGTTTCTTTCTCTCCTCAATGGTATATGAATTATATAATAAAAAATCCAAGCCAACTTTTAGCATTAAAACATCAACTGTTTATTTCAACTGCTGGAGTTCCAGGAGTTTTTCGTAATGGAAAAGATCACTCTAAGCCTAATATTCCTGTCTCTTCCCATCCCTGGATTTCCACAGAAGATGGCAGAGATGTAAACTGGGTCTCTTGCCGTTCTGTAAATTTTACTGAAAAACATTACTTAATAATATTACATTGGAAAATTGGGGACCACAAAATTTATTAATATTTCATTCCAACACCACTTGGAATTATACTCTTCCTTTTAATTATTCCGGATCCCCTTATATGTGGAATCCCATTTTGGCTGGTCCCATTTTGAGATTAAAATATAATTCTTACTACTCTCCCCTTAAAAGAACAATTTGGCGTCTTGCCATCCCGTTTTTCCCTCACATAATTAGACAAATGACAAACTTTAAATTAAAATGGATGACACAGGATAATATTGATTCAGTTATAACTTGTGCCTCTTGTCCTTACATATTTGCTATGTTATCTACAAACTTCTCTTTCTCCTTAAATTCTGAATTTAATATCACTCTCCCAGCGAATTCTACTTGGTTTACTCCCTGCGTTACTCATCTTAATGTTACTACTCTTAATATATCTTATATTTTCATACTAAAACAGAGAGTAGAAGTTTGACTACCTGTCAACCTCACACGACAATGGATGGGAAGTTCT